GAGATGGAAGGAGAATAGTTGGATGCCCAAACACCAATAGATGATCTCCTCAAGCTCTTGTGAAATTGATTTTACAAACTCAAACTTCCAAATGCTTAAAAGCTTCTTAAACACGCTTAAACCAAACTAAAACCCTTGTTAAAACTCTATTAAACTTGGTTAAGAAACTCTCTTGGTTGTTCCTGAAAGAGGAGAGCAATGGGGTATTTATAGTCTCTCAAAGCATCAGCAAAACCCAATAAAAAAGACAAAAAAACCACTCTGCAACGGCTCTAGAAACTAGCCATTGGAATCAAATCGTTAACCGCGGCGGTCGACCGCGGCGGTCGACCGCGAGCAACAAAAAGGCAACACTACGGCTCTGGACAAGCGACAGTCGACCGTGAAAGTCTCTGGACTTGCTACGGTCGACCCCCACAGTCGACCGTGAGCCAACAAGACAGAATCTGAGTTCTGAACACATGACGGTCGACCGTGGCAGTCGACCGCGAACAGATACTCAGGAAAAAAACAGGTTTTGAAAGTTGTATATCTGATTTTGAAACACTGTTTAAAAATATCAAATAAATTCTAAAAAATGTAAAACTTTGGGAAATGATTATAGACATGATAATAAACATGCTACAATGAATGGTTTCCAAAAAATACTTCCTAAATAAAAAATATCATTATTTTACAAAATAGGCCAAAACATGAAAATGTAAACATATGAACTTTGACATTTTGGCTAAACCATGTTTTGAAACTTTGCACAATGATTATGTAGACTTAATAAAATATGTATATGATTATTGTTAAGTCCAAAAACTAAGAATATAATATTTTTACGAATACAATAGAAAATAAAACATATGAGTATGTATATAAAAATATATTTGTTTCATATCTAAGTAGTTAAACCAAATCACAATAATAAATATGAAATATGTAATTTCATATTTGTAAACATAAAAACCCAAAACCATGCATGTATATATATAACTATATATATACATAGAAACCAAATACGTGTGTGTATATGATATTGAGCTTAAGGTACTTAACACACATAATATAAAACCTAAACTAAGTTACCCAAGCTAGATCTTGATCTTCAATAAGCTCGACTTGGTACACTTGCGGATAAAGCTTGAACTTGATGTTTAACTTTGAATTTCGTAGCCTTCACTCCATAATTCCGCCAACCTCCATTTGATATGATCGTGAATGCTTGATTCCATCCATCCCCCAACTCGTTGTTTGCCTAGAATAAATACGAAAACACAAACACTAGACAAATAACATTAGAAGTAAATTATTTGTTAAATATCATCAAAACAAGAAGGCCAACACTAACTACCTAGATATCATCCACAAACATGGTTAGGCCGTTATTAACTGAAGATATGGCCAAATCCATCATTCTTATCCGAAAACCCCCAACCGAAGCCTATAAATATAGGCCTAGGGTTCATTTTACAGGGGTGATTTATTATTACGACGAGGAGGTGTTTTCAAACTCCAGAGCCAAGAGTCACGAATTTTAGCAGGGGTTAGCGAGATTCCAGCGAACTCCAGCATAAAGAATGAGCTATTCGAAGGATCTGAAGCCCGATCCCACCGTTCCTTGAGATTAGGTTTGGTCTTAATCTCGAGAAGAGTACTGATTTCGCTTGGTAGATCTCAGTGCTTCAAATCAAATACTCGTTTGGTGAAGGCGAAGCTCTGCCCAATTTTCCATCAACCGGATCCAGATCTAAGGCGGTCCACGGATATCAAAATCCCCGATACTGGCAAAGATTCCACACAAGCAGAAGACCAATAAACGATCTCCCTGTGTTTTTTTGATGGAGTTATAATTTTTTATTTCTTTCATTGTGTAAAGAGTCTTATAAAAAGACCAATCTTTTGATCTTATTGTAACAACCAAAGTTGTAATGAGTTATACAATGAAGAAAGCAACTTTTGATGCGAACAATTCTTTTGAAACCTTAATCATAATTCTAGTTCTCAAGATGAAAGTAGAGCCAAAATTTTATAACATGACTTTGCCCCCGTTAGATTCTAGGATTATATCCCTTAATTCCCCTAAAACTTTAAAGTTTTGATGTAATGGTTAGAGGGACTTTAAGACTTTAAGAGCCCCAACATCATGTTTGCACACATACAGGAATGTGAATTTAAGTTCAACATGTCTTTCCTCAGTTTTTTGCTATCCTAGAGACAAAAGTAAGGCTTAATTGCACTTAAATGCCTAACATTGTCCCCGACCTTGCACTTAAGTGGCTTCTTTTTTCAAACCGAACATAAAAAAATGCTCCAAAGTATTTTTTGTAGATAAATGCCCCAAAATTTCAAAAATATTACATGTTGGTACCCTCTTATTTATCCAATATTACAAATAAATGCGCACAAGTTTTTAAATGATCTTACTTAAATACACCAAAGCTTCAAAAAATTTTACTTTAGTGCCCTCAATTATGTGACGTAGAGAAAAGATAACGCAGTCTGGGTTTTTTTAACTATGGAGCATTCATTTGAAACACTTTAAAATACTTTGGTTTTTTTTTTTTTTGTTCGGTTTGAAACTATAGGTCATTTAAGTGTGAGGTTGGGGAAACTATAGCGCATTTAAATGCAATCAAGCTCAAAAGTAATTTCCCTCCAGAAAATTTTGTTGCACCAATTTTCCTAGACTCTTTCCTCTCTTAGGAATTTGAAGAGGAGATACTAGGTTTGATAAGCTTAACTGCATGAATTGAACTATTAGAGCATCTCCAACCCAAAAAACCCAAAATGGTGTAGTTTTTACACCAAGTTGGTGTAGTTTTTACACCAAATCACTATTTCATCTCCAACTCATTACACCAAATGTTACACCAAAAAGAATATTCATTTTATTATTCTTATCTTTTAACATTTTTATCTATTTAAAATATTTAACAAATTATATAATTATATAATACATTACTTATAATTAATTATAATAATATATTTTAAGAATAAAATAAAAATATAAAAATTAAATGCTAAATCAAATTAAAATATTACTTTCATAAATTCAACTAAAGATTACATTTAACATCACAAAAGAAAACATCACACTTGCAAGTAAAAAAATAAAAGGCATTATATTTAACATAAAATAAAACACAAAGACACAGTCCATATTGATAAAATGCTAAGTATCCGAATTAGTATATTCATCCCACAAATGATCAATTAATGCATCTCGAAGTGCAATATAAGCTTCTTTATTCTTGATTTGTCGATGACGAGCCAGAAATTCTTCAAACCGAGCATTTTCATCTACAACTATCTCTACGTCCGGAACTGGCGCTTCCTTCTAATTTTCAATTGTAGCATTAAGGTCACGTTCATCCTCAATTATCATGTTGTGCATAATAATGCACGCAGTCATTACATCATGTAATACTTCTTTTTTTCCAAAAACGAGCTGGTCCTGACATAATTGCAAATCGAGATTGGAGTACTCCAAATGCATGTTCTACATCTTTTATGCATCCTTCTTGCTTCATTACAAACAACTTTTTTTTGTACCACGTGGATCATGAATTGTTTGTACAAGAGCAGACCATTTTGGATATATACCATCAGCTAAAGAGTAACCCATGTTATAATGTTTACCTTGAATGACATAATGAGCAGGAGGAACAATACCTTCAGCGAGTTTTGCAAAAAGATGAGATGCCTCTAAAACATTAATGTCATTATTGAAGCCTGACAAACCAAAATATGCATGTCATATCCAAATATCACAATCAACTACAGCCTTCAGAATAATAGTTGGGGATCCACTACGACCTGTGTATTGGTCCGCCCAAGCCGTTGGATAATTTTTTCATTTCCAATGCATGCAATCTAGACTGCCCAACATTCCTGGAAATCCTCGTTGTTTAGCAATATGGAGTAGTCTGACAATGTCATTAGCGTTAGGCGATCTCCGATATTGTTCTGCAAAAACCTCCACAATAGCACGACAAAATCTCTTTAAACTTTTGAGTGCTGTCGACTCTCCTATTTTGATGTATTCATTAGTAGCATCCGTTAGTAGACCATATGCCAACATTCGGAACACAGCTGTAATTTTTTGAAGCGTAGACAATCCGAGTCTACCGACCCTATCCATTTGCTGTATAAAGTAAGTGTCAAGATCTTTTATGCCGTTAACAATGTGAAGGAATAAATCTCGAGACATTCGAAATCGTCAGCGAAACATCGAATCATTATATCGCGGATTCTCAAAGAAGTAGTCGTTGAACAGATTACTATCAGCATTTTCTCGATCACAGTTGATCATTATATGACCAGGAATTAAGCCTCCACGGATCACTTGGTTGTTTTGTTGATTGATATAGTAAGTCATTAGAAGGTTGTTATTGTTTCTGATGCGAAACATCGCTTCCCTTTCTGCATCAATCGCTTCAATATCATCTATCAATTGTTCATCTTCAATTTCATTATCAGAAAATGATGATGACAAATTAGAAGGATCTCTATTGTTGAAATTCAATTTTGAAAATAGAGGTTTATGATTTTAGCAAACTCATCAATATGAGCTTTTATAATAGATGGAGATGATAAATGAGAAGTGTTGGAAGTTGAAATGTTGTCATAAAGTGTCTTTTCTTTAAAATGTTGTCATGAAGTGTTTGAAGTTGAAATGTTGTCATTGAGGTGTTTGAAGTTGATATGTTGTCATTGAGGTGTCTTTGAAATGTTGTCACTTTCATTTTTTATCTATAAATAACATATCATACTTCAAGAAACATACATCTTCTTTATTTATGTTATAGATGGCTTTAAATCAACGAAGTTCTTCATACACAAATGTTGAAGACTCACACCTCTGTCATGTATATCTTGACATTTTCCAAAATCCGATCATAGGTATAAACCAATCTAAGGATCAATTTTGGTCTCGAGTTGAGAGTGATTATCATAGCTCAAGGCCTGCTTTTATCACTCAAGTTCGACCCAGAAGATCTTTACAATGTCGAATGCAAACTCTCCTAACTGCAATTGGCAAGATGAGGGGATGTGTAAACCAGGTTGAAAATTTAAATCCAAGCGGTGCTTCTGAACAAGATATTGTAAGTGTTATTTGTTACATATATTTTTGAGATTTAATTTATGATTGGATTTTAATTTTATATATTTATATCATTTTGCGGTTCAATTGGGCTAAAGTGTTGTTTGCTCAGGATAAGAATTATAAGAAGGGGTTCAAATTCGATCATGTATGGCCCATCTTGAAAGATATCGAAAAATTTACAGATGTTAATGCTGGAATTCAAGTGGGACGTATGCAAATGGCCCATCTTGAAAGATATCGAAAAATTTACAGATGTTAATGCTGGAATTCAAGTGGGACGTATGCAACATGGTAACTTTGCATCATCACAATCAATTTACAGATGTTAATGCTGGAATTCAAGTGGGACGTATGCAACATGGTAACTTTGCATCATCACAATCAAAGTACTCTCCGACTTCAGAGTCTCCCACACTAGCATCTCCTGGATTAGCTTCATTCAGTTTTAATATGAATGACAATGATTTTGGTGGTACTTCAACTAAAAGACCAATAGGGGTACGGAAAGCAAAATTTAAAAAGAGAAATGATAAGAAAGTTCTAAGTTAATGGAGTATATGAAAGAAGAGAATCAAAAAATTGTTGCAATGATGGAAAAAAATAATGCTGATAGGCAACTAAATTATGAAATCCAAATGTTACGAGTTCAAACTGCGGCAAAAAAAGTGGACGTGGATGAATTACGAGAAGAAAATTTAATTTTACTAAAAAATTTGACACAAGTAACTGATCCAAAACTACATGAGTTTCTTGTACAAGAACAATCAAGAATTATGCATAAAAGAACTAAACAAGGTGAAGGATCTCAAAATACCAGTTCTGATACTTTTGCCCAATATTTCGAGCATCGATCTTCGTCCTTCTGATGATAATTTCCCAGAATACTGAAATGTAGTTTTAGTTTATGTAGCATGTTCTATTTTTCTTTAATTTTAATGTATTGCAATTAGTGTTAATTTTTAATGTCCTAATTTATGTGTAATTTTTTTTATGTCCTAATGTTTATGCTGTATTTTTTTTTTATCTAAATGGTGTAGTGTTTCTTATTTCTTCATTTGGTTCTAGTATTATGAAATTTTAAGTGTTTGGATTAAATTATCTATTTTTTTCTTATTTCTTCATTTGGTTCTAGTATTATGAAATTTTAAGTGTTTGGATTAAATTATCTATTTTTTTCATTGTTAAATTTTATTTTAATAATTATTTTATACTCTAATTTCATTATAATAGTTAATATAAAATAATATATATTATTAATACAAATATAAATAACAAAAGAAAAAAATTGTTTCTGTATTTATTCTCATAAGACCTTCCATAAAAAGTTTTTACAAAAAAAATTAATTACGCCATTGCTACACTGTTGCGCCATTTCTGGCGCAATACTGTAGCGGCCCGCTATTTTAGCGGAACAATTGGCGCTGCGTTAGAGGGGCAATCAACGCTAAGTTGATGTTTTAGCGTATGCATTGGAGAGGCCCTTAGGTTTGCATATCAATACTTTCATTTACTAGGTTTACACCACATGACTAAATTTCTTTAATAGTTTCTTCGTCACATATTCATAAGGACCTTTCTTCCATGAAACTTTTCCGGGTCTTAGAGACTAATAGACTGTGAAATGAGTGGTCACGAATTTTAATGATGTTATCATGTTTTCATTATTGATCGAGTTTTACTACAGGGACCTAAAATATGGGACCAATAAGGGGGACAAGTGAGGTGTCCCCCTTCTATTGGATAAAGAGGTATACTGAGTTGGTCATCATTAATGATGACTAACTCAGTATCCAATAGGAGGGGGACACCTCATTTGTCCCCCCTATTGGTCCCATATTTTGGGTCCTTGAGAAATTTTTCTTATTGATCCTAAGGAGAGATTTTGCACATGCCGACTATGTCCAGAATATGTTTGACTACAAAAGTTGTCGAGGAAACATCATGCTTTTACAGATGTTACCAAAACTGCAACAAAATTTACAAATCCACATGCATTTATTAAACATTCAAGCATGAAAAGGTGCGTTTTGTCTGCTAGAAACACATGAACGCAGAAAAACTAAAAAGGACTCCAAATATGCTACCATAAAGTGAAACAATCAGGAACCTCTTTTTTGTCACAGACGAAACAAACAGCAACTAAGTCATGTCAAATTCATAAAAATCATCATATAATTGTATTATTCAGAAACTAGCACTATCATAAATGACTTCTCCAATTACATACGTACTTAATTGTTACACCTTTATCCGCAATTTTGTCTGCTTGAAGCCCTGGCAACGGCATTCAATTACACTATTTACCAGCCAATTGTCAATTCCAATTTCACATGCAGATCCAATACATGCTCCTGCTTGAATACAAATGTTTCAGTAATCTACTCCCGATCGCTGGAGTGGATGATAAATGCCCATGATTCTATGATTGAATCGTGAGCGTAGATGCGAAGAAGATGGATGAAGATGAATCTGCAAAAAAAGATGGATTCATATTTTAGAGCCAAAAAAGGTGCATTTATCAGACAAAATGTGTAAATGTTTAATAACCTCCATTGTACTTAACTACTTACAGAGAAAAAAAACTAGTTTCTCTATCATACGTTCTATTTTTAGTCATCCAATTAGTTTGTCACTTTGAGGGACGGAGGGAATAAAACAGATTACTGTAGCTGACCGAAAATGGTTTTGAACAAGGCTTTGCAACAGTGTCACTTGTGAAATTCATGGGAAAAGAAATAGTAAACATGTTGCTTCTTCATCTTATACTTTCCCCTAATCGAATTTTAGATCAGTTAGGTCACAAGATTTCAAAATAAGAAGGCATCAGTTATATAGGAAAAATTCTACAAACAGCTTCAGCCTTACACCAAGGTTGATATCAATTTACCTTCCGCTAGCAAGTACCAAATACTGAAGTCTCATTATCATTTGAAACGACACTTTGCGCATAGTCTAATATTCAGACTAGATAGAGAATGGCAAATAGCTCAAGAGAACGCTCTTAGATCAGTATGAGCTTATGAGCATAGTGATTTGAATACAAGGACCCTCAACAATAACCTTGACAGTCCTGAGAATGGAAGGGCGAGACAACCTATACAGGTTGCAACATCCTAGAAATAGATTGCTCTGGATGGTGAGGCTTTTAACAAGTTTAAATACTATTGGATCACTGCTTTTTTGAGCTACATACATTTGTGATATAAGTAGCAGATAAATAAGTCGAAGGGAACTTGAAGTGGCAAATGTTGAACGAAACACCATACAAAATCCTAGTCAAATTTGTATTCATAGAGAACCAATATAAAGAGCAGAAAACAGTGCAGCAGTTGTCTGGGAACAAAATCCAGCCAATTTGCAAAACTCAAGGCACTGAACATAGGTAAACATTTATAAGACTCCTATTTTCCACTTTACTGTCAAGTGAAAAAGAAAGAAAGCAAAGCATGGTAGTTCTAACATGTAACTTGTTAGCCAGTGCAAAAGATGTGAATTATTGATGGATGAAGGCCATTGCACAACTTGAGGAAGATGTAGTCTGACATGTAATTAAAAACTTCAACTACATAGAATCAGTTTTTTGGCAATTAGATATTACAGCACTGCAGATGCATAATCAACTTCCACGAGAACAAAACTTGTGTATATATTCATTATGCATAAAGTAAAATTATCCAGGCCATCAACACTTTTGAGCTTAGACCTAAACGTGTTGCAAATGTTAAAAATTATGAAACAAATTTATCATTTTTACGCTTCCACATATGTGACATGAAACATCTCATATAACAATTCACGTTTATGACAAATAATGGTATATAAAACTCTGAATAATAAAACAATCAAGATAAAACTATTTAGAAAGAAATTTTCTAGGAAAGTCAGACAGACTAGCAAGAGAAAATGACTATAAAAGTACAAAACAACAAGCTTGAATGTCATTTCTATAGCTATAAATTACCGAGAGAGAGAGAGAGAGAGAGAGAGAGAGAGACTTTAAGCCAGTGTGATCTTTCAAGAAAAAAAAAGTGAGATTACAGGTCAAAGAGTAAGAACCCCTCATTGTATTCGTAAGGTGAAATGAGAAAGAAAGCTTAACGAAAAAAGTTCCAACTTATACTCTACCAGCTAGACCTAATGATATTCTCTGATGAACTGGCAATTATGTAAGAAAATGATTGCATTTCTCTGTCTGACTCCTCCTAGAATTTCGTTTTCTACTAGTGCAATAAATGAAGTCTACGTAGCATGTTTATGGACCAAACTACTAAAATAAACTAGATTTTTCATATGCCATGGCCAGGACAAGCTTGGCACATTGCAGTTCCACGATTCCTTTTTTATTAATATATATCCATGAAGTATACATTATGTCTCCCTTGTTCTTCCTGGAATCCCTAGTTTTAAACATATAGCCTTTAAGTTAGCTGATAGATAACAATCAAAAATGGCTTATATCAATAAATCAATTCAAAGAATCAACTATAATTGCACTAAGATCCTTCTACCAGATGTACAATCACCATAACATACCAGCAGAAGCAATTCTATAACAGCATTTGGATCGAAAAAGAAAGTAATAACAATGGAAACAATGCTACTTCAAACACTTTAGGAGGGTAGGGAAAAAATGCAATTCCATATCAACAATATTTCATCTGGGTCAAGAAAGAAAGTAATTAGGTACTCAGTAGAAAAATCAACTTCAATATCATCATCAGCTCTTCAAAGACAGAATAGACTATGGGTTTATTTCCCTTCCAATGTCTTCAGAGTTTGGACTGAAGAATGAAAAACAATATAGTTGAATTTGAATAACTAGTTAACCTTTACGCAACAAGAGTACAAGACCAAAGGAAAGGATAAGTACTATCTTTAACCAAGTTGAGGAAATTTATCCAATCAACCTTCAAGAACTTTCTTTATACATCTTACAATCCTAAGTTTAAAATTTTCAAACCAAAGCTAATCACAACAGAACTGAACTGCATTCGTTATGTCTATGATGAAAACTCAAAACACCAATACGCAGCTGAAAATCTAACAAGCATAAGAAAAATGCACAAACAAATCATATTTAACTAGCTCAATCAAACAATAAGCCCAGGAGAAACTAAAATGGGCAATAGAAGCAGCATAACAAAAAAAAATGATATGTGAATGCTACCTTAGCTGCTCAAGTTCTCAGCAGAACCATTCATCTCTTCGTCCTCATCACCATCACCCGCTCCAACCATCCTTTCTTCTTCTTCCTCCTCCTCCTCCTCCTCTTCTCCTTCCTCCTGTCTAATCCTTTCAATCTCCACCTGCGCCCTCTCCAGTATCTGCCTCTTCTGCACCTCCAAATCCCTATGAAACTCCTTCCTCATCCTCTCTAACTCCACCATCTGCTGCCTCTTATTGCTCTCAATCTTCTCATAAACCTCACTGAACTTCTGTATCGAATCCGCCAACATCTTAAACGCCGAAGACGGAAATGACCCCGACCCTCCTCTCCTCTTCTTCTCACTCATTGTTGGCGGAAGCCCATCGGACTCATTACCATCATCATCATCGCCACCCTCCTCATCATCAGTTCCAGTATCCCCTGGACTATCTCTCATCTCATCCATCGCATTAGCTCGGTTCAAGTAAACCCTAGAATTCGAAAACACATATTCACCTGCATCCACCCCGCACGTCAACCTCAACGGTGAACTCCTTGTCACTTGAGCTGGCGCCGGAGATGGAGATGACATCAAAGAATCCATCTTTTTGAAGTAAATCCAGTCACTCTTAAAATTTGGAATCTCCGCCATTCTAGCTTTCTCCTTCTTATACTTCTTCTTCAAAGTGTCCAACCGATTTCGACACTGCGAATCCGATCTAGTGATCCTCGAATCCTGGTTAACTTTCTTCGCGACCTCGATCCACTCATCACATCGAAGTGATTTCCCTCCATTCTTTACAAAAGGATCGCCCCAGGCATCAAGAAGAACAAAGGTCGAATCTTCCGACCAATCCGGAGGCGAATTCTTGACCCCAGAGCTCTTCAAATTGGCGACAACCGACAAAGGCGGCGGCTTTCGAGGGACGAATTCGAAGTTATCGAGCTTTCGACGCTTCCCTCGGCTCTCCATGGACGAGTCGTCGTCGTCGTCGTCGACGCCGTTCGCTCCTTCACCTTCGTTGTCGCTCTTGATCCCGTCTGAATTCGATTCGTAATCGTCGTCGTCCTCTTGATCAGTGAAGTTTCGGGGGAATTGGGGGTGAGTTGGGTGATGGCGATTGTGTGCATATCGAGCGTCGTCTTCAACGTCGTCCATCGGAAACCCTAACCGTAGATTTTGAGTGAAATTGAGGGTTTTGACAGGAAACCCTAGCCCTATGTTTTATTTTTTATTTTTATTTTTATTTTTTTTTTTTTTGATAGGAAGAGGGCCGATTGGGAACAGGGAATACGTCGCCGGTGAGAGGCGACGGGTATGGCACGTGACAAGCGCGTGACGGTGGATAGGATGGGCGCTGGGTTACCAAAAGCCGACTCGGTCCGGATATGTATCGGATATGATGTTTATCATATCCATATCCGATTATCCATCTTGGATACGGATATACATCTTGGATATGGATATGTATATGAATATGACTCGGTAAAAAAAATTCATAACCATATCCGCTAAAATCGGATACGGTTACGGATAGACATGCGGATATATGAGCGGATATGTATGCGGATACAAAACGGATATGAGAAAACTAAATAGAATGGAGAAAAATCATAGTTCATGGGATACAAAAAAGTTCGTTAATATGTTCATTATAAGATTAAACATCTTGATCATCAAAATTAATCACAAATTCATAATCTAAAAATCGAAACTATGGTAAGAATATGACTAATATGTGTTCGGATATTTCGGATACGGATACAGATATTTCACTACAAAACCATATCCATAACCATATCCTATCGGTTATAGATTTGAGTAACCATATTCGTATCCTAATGAATACGGTTACAGATGTTTCCTCGGATGCGAATACGATTTAGCACCCTTACTCGAAATCTGATTTGGACACGTTGGCCGTTTTCCGTGATCGTCCCTTGCATCTTAAATATTTTGAACGCAGTCCTCAAATCATTTACACGGCGATTAGGTCCCTCAATTCTTCTCCTAAATTGTTTCCAAATTTGTTCATCAAATCACTAAAATTACTATTATGTATCCCTGTTTCCTATATTATTTCAAAAATAATTCCTCTAATCAGTGGCCGAGCCAAAACTTTTATCTTAGGGAGGCTAAGAGCCCAAGATGTCAAGATGTAAAACTTGAGGACCTAATAGCAATCTTCATGGTTTGGTGACTAAGTTCAAAATTTATCATGGAATAAATAGTGTTAGCAAGATGTCAAGATGTAAAACTTAAGTGCCTAATAGAAACTTCATGCTTTTATGACTAATTTAAAAGTACGGAGTTATATCGAAAGCAATTCTTCCAATCAAGAGTAGCGCTACCGAAGATGCCAAGATGTAAAACTTGAGGACTTATTAATAATTTTACGATTTAGGGGTCTAATAGTAATTTCAATGAGTGAGGGACTAATTTCAAAATACTAGATGTTAAAAGGACTATATATGGACAGCAAAATTATTTCAAGATGTAAAACTTGAGGACATGATAGCAACTTCATGGCTTGATGACTAATTTCAAATATTAAAGTTATTTAAAAAACAATTCCTCCACTCAAGAGTAGCATTAGCAAAGATGTCAGGACGTAGACTTGATGACCTAACTTTAATTTCATGATTGGATGACTAATTTCAAAAAATAAAGTTGTTTTAAAAATAATTCTTTCAATCAAGAGTAGCCAGGGTATTCTTGCCCTGGGAAGTTGCCTCATACTCGTAGCCAGGGTATTCTTGCCCTGGGAAGTTGCCTAGGGCAAGAATATCCCGCCATTGTCACTCTCCCTCCTCCCCGCTTCCCCTCTCTTCTTCCTCATCTCCTTCCTCTTTTCAATTTTGTCGAGCATTTTCCTGGTCTTCCGCCTCTCCCACGACCTCTCCCTCCTCTGTTTCCCGTGCCTCCCTCCTCTCTTTCACTGAGCTCCTCATACTCGTAGACCATTTTTATTTTTCGCCCAGGGCAAAAAATAATCCTCTGGCTACGTCATTGTGCACAAGGGAATAATGAAGATGTCAATATGTAAAATTTAAGGATCTAATAGTAAACTTATGATTTGATGACTAATTTCAAAATGTGAAAATATGAGGCGTTCGAGGAGCTTATAATGAACCTAATAGCAATTTTATGATTTGATGACTTAATTTCAAAATGTAAAAATATAGGGAGTACAAAGGACTAATAATGACAAAACACACAAAAAGGGGGAAAAAACTAAAAGCGGCCCCGACCACAGTGGGAGTCGAACCCACGACCTTTTGATCCGAAGTCAAACGCGCTAATCCACTGCGCTATGCGGTCTTGATGGTTTTGATAACGAAGCGTTATTATATCAGATAGAGTCAAACTTACAGTGTTAATTTATTGCTAGCTCTGTAACTTCATGAATGGCAACTAGGGTGCACATAAATATCCATTATCCATTAGAATATGAATATAATTACTAAAGAACCTAATATGATATAATTATAGATACATATATGCCTAAAAATATAAGGATCCATATTCGAAATATCCAAATATATATTGGTCGCATAGCTTTAACTTGTAACAGGTTTAATCATAGGTTAATATATTTGAGGTTAATTTTGAGGATAAAGAGATCTAATCTTTGCTTTTTATATTAATGAACTCTCTTTTATCATATGAATTATATTTTTGTAATATTATTTAGTTTTCTCATAGCAGTTTTTGTTGGATATTTTTTTTAAAAAAGTCAAATTGACTTAATCTAATCCTCTTAAATCTCCAACTAACCCCATATTTCTCCTTATCCTTCTCCACTATCCGTTCTGTTTCTCTCCCTATATAATTCTCTCAATCATCTCATAATTACATATTCATTTTCTTTACCTACTCTCTCTCCTCTCATCTCACGGTAAAGAAAGAAAACAGTGGAGTGAAAATTTTAAAAAAAATAGAGAGATAATTCTCACGGGTTTTCTGCTACTATATACTTAAGTGTTATTATTTTTTTTGGGCAACCTTCTTCATCTAAGCAGAAGCTCTGTGCTCTCGCCCGAGTACGGAGGCCAGCCGTTTCCGGGGGCTTTTACCGCTAGGGGGAAGGGGATCGACTGTGCCAGGGCGATAGGCGGGTCCTCTATCTTCTAGATTGCTGTCAAAAAAGAGAATAAATTAGATTAAATCTGAAATTAAAAGAGTTAGAACACCAGGCCTGATGCAGTTTATTTTGAAAACATCTTTCCGTTCAAATCCAAAATCTCAGAAAATCCTAGAACATCTTTTCCTTCTGATCTACCATCATCTAGTTCTTCTCAGCCTTTTGACATTGAACCTCGAATGAGCAAAAGAGGTAGAATTCAAAGGGATTTTGGAGAAGACTTCTTTACCTTTCTTGTTGGAGGTGATCCAAGCTCATTCCAAGAAGCAATGGATTCACCTGAATCTCCTTTCTGGAAAAAAACCATTGATAATGAGATTAAATCTATCATGAAAAATCATACTTGGATACTCACCGACTTAAAACCATTGATAATGAGATTAAATCTATCATGAAAAATCATACTTGGATACTCACCGACTTACCTCCAGACTGTAAACCTGTAGGTTGTAAGTGGATATTCAAGAAGAAACTTAGAGCTGATGGTTCCATAGATAAATTTAAAGCTAGATTAGTAGCTAAATGCTATACTCAGCAAAGGGGTATTAATTACTTTGATACCTATTCTCCTGTAGCCCGAATCTTAACTATTCGAGTATTATTAGCCTTTGTTTCTATTCATAAGCTGATCATACATCAGATGAATGTCAAGACTGCTTTCCTGAATGGTGATTTAGATGAAAAGATCTATATGCACCAACCTGAAGGATTCATTGCCAAGGGCCAGGAAAACAAAGTCTGTAAACTTGTTAAATCTTTGTATGGTCTTAAACAAGCTCCTAAACAATGACACCAGAAATTTAACAAAGTCATTGCGCAATATGGTTTCACTGTGAATGAACACGACAAGTGTGTTTTGTAATGATCGTGAAATTTTGATACTAGTTAAAATAATTTTTTAAGTATTTTTAAATATTTAGTTATAATTTTTAAAAGATTATTTATATTCTTCTTGAATTTCTACAATTTTCTATGATTTAAAGTCTAAGTTTTATATTTATTTAAATGACATTAATATTTATAAATTAATTTTATGCGGTGAAAATTTATGGAATTTATCTGTTGCGTTATCGATACTGTTACATGTCATTTTGAATAATACGTTGTAGTATTTTTATTATTACGTATATTTTCGTATAATACGTTGTATTATTAATTACGTATTATTTGTATAATTTGCTGTATTATTTCTACTGTTACATATTATCTGCCGTATTAGTATAACTTGTATGTTTTACTGTGTATATAATTATCCCATAATTATTGGATTTTAATTGTAAGTAAATATATTTTATTTATTAATTATTTTCGTTTAATTGTATAATATGGGTATTTTTCGACTATTTCGTATCAATTGTTATAATAACACAACATGTATGTTTTTAATTATAGATAATTATTCTGTAATTAGATTAATTTTTAAATACCCACAATTAATTTATTTTAATTATTTAACCCTAAACCCTAACCCTAAAATTCTATGTATATATATAATATTCTATTATCTTTCCTCTCTCTCCTCTTCTTCTAAACCCGCCGCCAGACCCATGTTTTCTCTCCCCCTCGTTCTTCTCCCTCCGGCCTCCTTTGCTCGCCACCAGCAGCGACAGTAGCTGCCCTCCTCTTTCCCCCACATCTCCGACGAGCTCCGAGCTCCGTCCAAGCCCCGAGCTCGACCTCCTTCCTTTCAGCCCTGTTCGCTGCCCTGTCCTCCTACAGCCCCCTCTTCGCCACCAGCGAGCTCCGCCTCGCCCAGCTCACTCACCCCCTGCAGCCCTCGTCGCTAAGCTCTGAGCCGAACGTCGCCGCCGAGATCCCGTCGACCCGCTGCCCCGCGTCGTTCAGACCCTTCCCAGATCCGACGTCGCATTTCCCTCGCCCGTTGCCTCCCCATGACACCGACCTCATCATCCGCCGTTCAGATCCGATCAGATTCGCCACCTTAGCGTCATCGCACACCACGTGTTCGACGAAATGCCAACGCATACCCAGCTGCAGAACCGCCACATTCTAGCCGTCAGCGAGCCCGTCGGAGCCGAGACATCCCAACGAAACCCCAAGGCAAGATCCCGAACCTTGATTATTTCATTTTAATTATTAGTTTATCGTAAATTATTATGTGACTCGTCATTTAATTTTTAGATCTGTTATGAGTTAATTAATTAG